GATGAAATCTCACAATGATTGTATTGATATGTGAAAACAAGAGAGGAGTTTATGTGCAGCATGTTTATGAGACTTGAGGGGAACCAGTGATTACAAATGAATATACTCACCTTACCTCCCTTGGAAACAATATATCTGAAAAAGCTATTGTGCTTGATTTGTAAATGAGGTAAAAATGAATGTGGCAACTCAAACTCATTGTTGGCATCTGGTTTGTGATACAGTGCTTTTATTCTCAGGCGAGGGAAAGTGTAGGAAGTTGCAGAGGCAATAACACATCCACATTCTCATAAAGGGGCCTCAGAAGATTAATTCTGGTAGTCTCTGTTTAGGTCATTACACACCGCTCCAGAGCTTTACTGAAGTTCTTGTGCAGTACTCTGGTAGTTGGTGGTCAGCGGGTCCACCCTGCTGCTGTTAGAACAGTAGCATGCCAGCTCACACCACACTATCCTCCATTCTCAAGTTTAAAAGTAGCACTGGTTTTCAAAATCCTCTTGGTACCTTATTAAAGTGAGCCTTAGTTTACTGATGTTAAAGTCATCCCAGGACCCAGGAAAAGAACCCAGACTGTTCAATGCCTAAAGTGTAATTAGATTCGTTGTTGTCTTACTTGTTGCTGTCTGGTTGGAATTAGCATGATTCCTTTTTTGACTGTGGCAGCACTGGCTCAGATGTTGCCCACTCTCAGAGGCTTAACTGAAGTCACAGACTGCATTTCTCTTTCTTTTGTTTGATACACAAGTGATGAAGGGTTTTTTAAAGTGCTTTCTAAATCATTTTGACATGATGCAACTTGACTGTTCTTGACCAAAATTATCTGGGTTTAATGCTAGTTAAAAGCCACAGGCTCATGTTGATGTTCACACTGTCAAAATAATACATGTCACAGGTGCCCAGTGCCCACTCACATGTGATCAAACTTCCACAAGTACTGTACATATTAATATGTTGGGGGGAAAAGGATCGTGTGTATATACTGATTAAATGCCTGGACAGCTCATTTCTGACTCACAGAGAGACTGTTGATGAACAGATAGATACTTTATTGTCATTGTACAAAAAAAATACAACAACATTTAAATGCACTTCAGGGTACCAATATAAATACAAAAAAACAACACTCACTCAGTGCCAGCATATACACTTTAGTGAGTAATTACACTTAAAAGAGCATCAATAAATACTTAAAATTACTTAAAAGAAAATCAATAAATATTACACGATAAAACATGCTGGGTCATGGGTCATGACCTTCTAGGATTTACACACAAACCTGCCTCACTTCTCTTAGCCCAAGCTACTACAAATGGACCATAATCTAAACTAACTGTATATTTAAATATTTAACAGTCAGCATATAAGGAGCAAAATTGCAATTCATTTTGTATTGGCTCCTCCAATGAAAGTTCACTTCCCACTCCCTTTTTTCTTTGTTTTGCTCTCCACCAACACCTGAAAAAATATTAGTCTATTTTAGTGTTAAATACTAAACCATGCTTCCACCCTAAAATTCAGTGATTTCCTTGTGGGGACTAGCTTCTGGTCCCCACAAGGATGGCCAAGTCCCGACAGTGTGAGTGTGTTAACAGGTTTCAGTCCTCATGATGTAAGTAATACAAAGGCACACACACACACACACACACACACACATCAGAGTAGGTTTTTTTTCAACCTCAGCTGACATCAATCATCCTAAAACACTGAGGCAGCATTATGGTGTAATTTTTTTACCATGTAACACCGTACAGAAAACATTTTAATTTATGATTGTGCAATGAAACCAAAAAAAACAATCTGCCAGACTTGCTAATGGCCAAAAGAACAACTCTCACTTTGTTTAGCACTATATCAAAACACGGTGGAAAGTCCATAAAACCAGAAGAAGTTAAAATGCCAGGAGCCTTTATCCTAAAAGTCATGGAGTAATAATGAGAGTCTGTCATCCAGCTGTACACAGCCCTCTTCAAGTAGAGCAGGTAAATATTTAGTGAGGACTGTGATTGCTGCCAGCCATGGCCTATTCATCTCTGTCACCAGGTAATAATGGAGAGCCGTGAGCACTAATGTGAGAGAGGGAAAACATGAGAGCATGCTTTGCAGGGGAAGACTGTTTGCACTGCTTCAGTACAATAAACTCCAGCTCTCCATTGTGCATTGTGTGTCTTTATCTTGAGATAACACTACAATCTGGAGATGTGTTATGTTTTTAATATTTTACTTTAAGCTATTTTATAGTTCAGTGCTGATTAGTGGTCCCATACAAAGGGGGTTGATTGTGTAAAAATAAAGCTCCTGCCAGAAATTAAGCCATTATGTGTATGGACCTGTTTTTGATTAAGAATTAGCTCAATGAACAGCCGTGACTCACATTTGAGGAAATGTTTTTGCCGGCTCCATTTAAGATGGATCACTTCAAATATGATGTCAGCTACACTGGGTGATGTTCCTATTGGCTTCTCAGGGGAAGATCCTCTTATGCACTTACAGGCATGAGGTAAACATACTGTACAGTACATCTGTGTAAACAAGCCTGAGTGACAGTCCAAATGGGCATCAGGGGAAAACAACATGGAAGAATTAAAGCCTCCACATGTGGATGCGTACAGAGCAGAGGGATGTGTTCTGCCCTGTGCAGCCTGCTTCTACAGGGAGAATGGAGTCAGACAGAAGAATAAGGAACACAGGCTGCTTGCAGGGTCAGTGGGAGTGGCTTCAAACCCTCCTTTGTGCTCTTGGGCCTGCGTCGCAGACAGTGTGGATGATGATGGAGGAATTTGGTGTGGGGTGCAGTGAACAGACACACATATAGAGAAGAATCACCTCTCTCCAGCCCTGGGGAGCTCAGCCAATCAACTGTCTCAACTTCAGTCTCTCTGGGGCCTTCTATATAGAGGATCCACCATCAAGAGATGTGATCGATGTCACTGGGTACACTGTGCAGACTGCTGAAAGTAAGTATAATCTCTGGGATATCAGACCACATTGTCTGTTTATTGTACAATATCAACAGGCAGACTGGAGTGGCTTTTACTGGTACAGTCTAATGAAAGGTGATTTTTTTTTACTGCATTTATTCCCCTAAATTAATACGTTTCATACGCATACAGAATTATTTTCAAGACACAATCAGTTTTTCGGGCACAACAAGAACATTTGATAAACAATTTTTTTCTCTCTCCTTTCAGACAATTTCTAAAATATAAATTAAGTTCATCAATAAAGAAGCAAATAATTAATCATTTCCACGAATCCACCATTATGTGCCATACTGTGCCAACCTGGTCACTTTCCAGCTCATAGCCTTTATTTATTGTGTCTTTTAAATGAATGCCAGGTTTACTAGTGTGCCTTTTGCTCATAAAGTGCCCCAGCAAAGTAATATACCAAGCATATTAACGTTGACACTTCAATGTACTAATAAAAAAACATTTTATTCAGATGAAAGAAGAATGAGTTGAATTTGATAATTTATTAACATACAAATTATAGAGCCACGCACATTTTTAAAAGGGGTGAAAAAAGAATCATGGACATTAAACTTTTTTAAAAAATGGGAGTATTCTGGTGACTCAGAAATGATTCAAAATTTTAATCATTTTTAGTTCATGTACAGGCCACGAAAATGGCTGCAAACAGCTGATTTTGTCAGGGCCGCTGTCTCTCCTCCGTCTTTCTCTCCTCTGCTCTCTATCCTGTGGGCTCTGCACCTCAGCTGTGTTGCATTCCAGTAATTAGCGACTGGTTTGTTGAGGCGCACAGCGGGGGTGCATCCCGATAATTCCCTTCTCCTTACTTATGGCAGCCGCTCCGTCTTCG